TGGAGAGGGTTTCTGGGTTGGAAGAAGACTTTAGTTTTAATTACATTTTTCAAACACATTCCACAATTATGAAAAGTGTGCTGATATATGTCTATATCATCTACTTGGTGTGTGTCTATATATATACACATATCAAGTATATTATATATACACACACACATAGCTAGGATATATATCTATATCTATGTATCTACACACATATCAAGTTCTGAGGTATATACATCTGAGCTATATCTGATATATATCTCAAAACTTGATACGTGTGTGTGTGTGTACACACACACACACACACACACACACACACACACCCAAGTTATGTAATATATTTCTCCAAGAACGACAACTTGGAGGGGAAGGTACAAAAGTCCCAAGTCCCCTGTGAGCCTGTTAAGTCTTGATGAGGTCTCAATGCATTCCTGCACCAGGGTTTCCTCAGAATACTGAGGTGCAAGCCTCTTAAAATTATACCTAAAGTTCTCTCCATTCTGCAATGCATCAAATGTTTGTAAGAAAAGCAAAGCATCCTCTCTTCAGTGTCATAATTACCAAGCATGTTTTCCTTAAGCCTTTCATGACAGGGTTCTGCTGAAACAAAGCACATTCTTCATAACTGTGGAATGTGTTGGAAAAATATAATTAAAACCAACATCTTCTTCCAACCCAGAAACGCTCTCCACAATGGTAGCAGAGAAAGAAAGCACTTTCATTATTCAGTAAGCATTGAACCAGAATGAGATGTTCATCACAGGCAATCTGCTAAGGGATGGCAAAGGCGGGAAAACAGTCTCATCCTTTTACGTAGACAGGCAGATCCAATCCATCCCATAGATGTTCTCAAAATAAACAATAATTACTCCTCAAGTAAGAGGACTTGACAGCCCCATTTATCACACATAATTCATCCTAGGTTCGCCTGGTAACTGGGGTGACCGTCTGTGTTAGTTAATTGGTTTTACACGGAGGAAAAACAAACTTCTATCTTAAGAAATGGAGATAGTTTTGCAGCTTGGAGCCAGGTGCCCTCTGATGTTAAGCTCCCGCCCTCCTCCGGAAGCTGGGAGAGGACAGCTATCTCCTCTGATGTTTACGTTTCAAAGAGATGGTTCCCAGGTCCTTAAGAAAGATATTTCTTCATCATAAAGTTGATAAAAGACATATTTAGTCTTCAAAAGAATTAATATACACTTCAGAGGAGGAGGAAATATTTAGAATTATAAACTTTCTAAAGTAAATACTCTGATACAAATGAGGGGAGAAGAATTTCTTCCCTTATCTTTAATAGGGAGAATTAAGCTTCTTATTTTTAATTCGTATTTGTCTTTACAAAGGTTAAGTTAAATTTGGTTTTTCATTTGACATTAGGCCTATTAACCACAATCTGGTTATCACAACTGTCATATCTCACTCAAAAATTTATGTAAAACAATGTGGTCAGTAATATACTTTCAATTCTCTTTTTCTTTGAACTCATTGCATTGTTTTCTTTATCACAATGTATTATCTTGAACTAGTATTACCAGATGTTTGGAAATAGTAGTTGCCAAAACCACTATTAGAATTACAGTGTTTAGAAAATAGCGAATCTCTGTAGACCATTAGCAGCAGCAGCAGGAGCAGTAGTGGCAGAATCTTCTAACTTTACTTGGAAACCAAATCATGGCCATCCTGTCCTCAGCTACCTTCTTAACTATCAGTGTTACTTTATCAGTTCTAAAATGTTGGTGGATTCCAGATCAAAGAGGTATTTCTCTTCCCAGTTTGATTTATGTATGTCTCCATGTCAGCATTTGAAAGTGTTATTGGAAGCTGTAAACCAATGTTTGTAGTAAGCTTATTAAATGTGTTTAATATTTCTGGTTCCCTAAACTTACACAGATTATTCCTTGAATCTAGAAAATATTAACTTATGATCTTGTGTTTATGATGTACTTTCCATCTCCAAGTAGATTTTGGGTCATCCCCACACCCAAAACCTGTCATTGCCAGAAGTGTTGGCAGAAAAAGCTGCCCCCAAATTTACATATATTGAAAAAGTCCTGCTTCCTTTTCAGCTCACTCACTGGGGATTAGCAGAAGGTCCTACGATGCCTGAGTACTTGTATAACTCTGTTGTATTTGCGGGGGTGTGAAATTGGAGAGTGAAGGCTTGGGATGGAGAGGACACCCTCCCCATCCCAAGAGCCACCATTTGCGTAAACCAGGACATGCTCTGGAGCATATGGGATCAGAGATGCAGTGATAGGTTGTATCAGGATGCAGAGCTTTCCTATGTTGAAGACAGGAGACATTAGGATCATCTTGGCTGGCTGTCTCAGCATTGCCTTGGAGGTCACTGATGTGCCACTGCTGGAGCAGTCTTAAACATGGCTGTGCTGAAGGGAAAAGCATCCAATGCCTCATTTGCCATGCTCAGCTTATCTGGAGGTGGTCCTCACTTTAGTCTGATCACTATCCAACTTAAAAGACACTCAAAAACGCAAGCTTTGGTTTTTCTTAAAATTATTATTGGAGAAAAAAATATACTTACAAAGTTCTTAAGGAGGAAACAATTGCATTTGAATAATATGTTACATAATATTTTATGAATATAAGTTATGTAATATTTAAATTATGTATCGTTCTCACTGCCTCCCATTGGGGCAAATTATTAACAGTAACAGAAAAACCACAACCTTAAGACTTTAACCCCTTAGAAGGCAAAGGCTGGCCCTATCCTCAGTGGTTTCATATAAATAGCTGCTTGGGAAGATATTAGGAAAAACATAATAAAGTTTCTTCAACCATAAAGGTCCTTCAAAAAGTTAAAAACAGAACTACCATATGATTTAGTAGTTCCACTTTTGAGTATGTTTCCAAAGGAAATAAAAGCAATTATGTTGGAAACATATGTTTATTCCCATATTCATTGCAGTATTATTCACAATAATCAAAATATGGAATTAAACCATGTATCTAATAACTAATGAATGGATGAGGAAATTGTGTTATATGCATGGACAGTAGAATACTTACCTTTTAGCCTTTAAAAAAGGAAACCTTGTCATGTATGACAACATGGTAAACCTGGAGAACATTATGTTGAGTGAAATAAGCCAGGCAGAGAAAGACAAGTATTTCATGATCTCTCTTATATGTGGAATCTAGAAAGGCTGAACTCGTATAAATAAAGAATGAAATGGTGGCTATCAGGAGCCGGGGAGTGAGAGGGAATTGAGATATTGGTCAAAGGATACAAATTTCAGTTAAATAGGAGAAGTAAGTTCAGGAGGTCTATTGTACAACATGGTGACTATAGTTAATTCATTTTATTTTTGAAAATTGCTAAGAGACTAGACTTTCAGTGTTTTTAACCACAAAAAAATTATGTGAGGTAATGCATATATTAATTAGCTCTACTGACTCATTCCACTGTATCTACATGTTTCAAAACAACATGTTGTATAAGATAAATGTATACAGTTTTACCAATTAAAAATACATTTAAAACCAGTATTTAATGAAGAATATTTTTTCACCTAAATATGTGTGTTTTGGACGATTCCCTTTTTCTTTTTTTGGGTCAACTTTATAGAGGCATAATTAATTAAAATAAAATTTAAGTGTGTAGTTCAATGACTTAAGACTGTTTTCCAACGTGGTTGCACCTTTTATATTCTCATCAGCAGTGTGTGAGCATTCCAATTGCTTCATATTCTTTTCAAAACTTGCAATAGTCCAGAATTTTAAATTTTATTTCTGGCCACCATAATGCATGCAAAGTGGTATTCCATGGGGAGAAGTTTTGAAAGCACTTAAATTTTGCCTTTCTTATTAAACTTTTAATTTAGTCATTTATTGTATATCAGCGTGGACTTATATGCTGTTTTGTTAAGCAGATTTTAATACAGTATTTTAAAAATCAAAACAAAAAATGTGGCTTTCCTTTCTGTTTCTTTTGCAGATGGCCACAATGCAGGTGTAATTGGTTTTCTGGCTGGAATATAAGTAAATATTTCAATTCTCATGACAAAATATCAACTATGCCCTATACTCTATAAAACTCTAATGATTATGAGCCTTTATCTTAACATTTTCATTATTCGGAAGTCCCTTCTTCTAAACCCAGAAAAATTAATAGCTGAAAGATATGGTCTAAAGTCATTCTAACAATCAGTTCTTCAAAACTTTCTACTCTACCATTTTCAGCTTCATTGAATCATTAGAAATTAATTCTCATCTATGTGACAGAATTAGAGCTTTTTAATTCCTTACAATTTATCATTGAAAAGTGTACTTCAAAATCATAGGTCCTAGCCAAAACTTCTGATCTCATAAACTCAATACCATCCTTATTTGACCTCATTAAGTGTTGTAGTACACATCTATTCTTCAAGACTACCACATGCTTCTTTGCTTTCTTTCCTCAGCTGCATTCACTGAACAGATTGTTCATGTTATCCACTCTCTGGCTAGTCTGTCAATTCCCTCAACAACTTGACCAAGTCTCATAGTTAAGTGGGGAAACATTTGTTTTCTCTGCCTTGATCCTGGACTGCTGAATCTTGCTGAAAAAAATTTCAACCTTGCTCAAATCCTCAAAAACCCATGTTTTATGAAACCAGGTAGGACTCAGTACTGACTGTGAAGAATCTATGGGAGTAACTATGGAACCCTAAGAAAAGCTACTTTCTAGAAAATAAAAGTGATCAGTACCTGGTTTTACACATATTGGTATACTTCAAGGTCGTTGACAGAGTCTTCTTTCTTCTAACTTTATCCTTTCTTCCTAGGATCTTATCTTTGCTTTTAGCTACAGTTACCATATTTATCCCAGTAACTCTAGAGTATTTATATTGAATACACAAATTTAGAGCTTCAGATCATATTCTGTTTCTGAGATTTAGACTAATATCTTCAAGTGCCTGCCAGGCAAATCCATTTGAATCTTAAAAGTACCTCAAATTCAACAAGTATATATATATATACCCATGATCTTTTTTTCTCTCAAAAACAACAATGTTGGCCAGGCACGGTGGCTCACACCTGTAATCCTAGCACTTTGGAAGGCTGAGGTAGGAGGATCACTAGGTCAAGAGATCGAGACTTTCCTGGCCAACATGGCAAAACCCCGTCTCTACAAAGAATATAAAAATTAGCTGGGTGTGGTGGCACATGCCTGTAGTCTCAGCTACTCTGGAGGCTGAGGCAGGAGAACCACTTGAACCTGGGAGGCAGAGGTTGCAAATAAGCGGAGATTACCCCATTGCACTCCAGCCTGGGCAGCAGAGAAAGACTGTCTCAAACAACAACAACAACAACAACAACAACAACAACAACAACAACATTTTCTTCCATCCAGCCAATTGGCTAGGTCAGAAACCTGGATGTCTTACTGCAGCTATTACTTCCTAAATAATTCCTCCAGGCTGTTTCTTTCTCTCCATTTCCACTCCCAATACTCAAATGTTTTCCTAATTTATATATAGTAACCACACTGTTTATTCCTCTCATCTATTGATATCAGAGTAGCCAGAGATGTATTTTTAAGATGCAGATATGATAATTTTATGCCCCTCTTTAACAAACAAACCTGTAATGAGCTTCTTATGCCTTTTACCATAAAATAGAAAGTTCTTAATGCGGTTTACAAGGTTCCTCATGTTTGGGATCTGCCTTCTACTCCAGGCTCTTTATGAACCACCCTTGTTTTGAAATTTCCTTTCTACATAATTAATCTACTTCTAAATTATTTTTCCTATATGTAACTGGACACTTCCCCTGTACTGAGAGAAAAAAGGTAAAGCAAAAATTATTTAAGTCATTATTTTATTGATAATGTATTTTATAGAATCACAAAATTTAGAAACATAAGTAGAATTTCAGGTATCACCTAAATTCAAAGAAATATGGGTTTATAGGTTGCTCAATTTGAAGAGAAAGTATGATTTGGTTTGGTTCATATAAAACGGGTCACAAACAGAATTATGTATCAAATTTAGAAGATAGAGTATTAAAATATTCATCTTGATTTTTCCTCAAGGAGAATTTTTCTGCAAGAAAAAGTAGGTATATGTGTGTTTATAAAGAGAAAGAGAGAAAGGCATGTTATTTCAATCATTAAATTCTTGATGATGACTATGAGATTAAAAAGAAATATGAGTCAAGAGAATCTGTTGTTGCCAGCAATCAGTTTACCAGAACGACTGTAGGTCAACATTTTGCCAAAAGGAGTGACAGACTAATTGCGTCTAAGGGGATGAGAATCTGCCAAAGAAGAGGATGCTATTGGTCTTATTTTGCCTGATGAAGAATAGGAAAGGGTGATTACAATGGAACTCTTCATTAGGAGGTGATGTGACGCCTGTTGTTATCACCGTGACAGCTGTGGCCTTTGCTCCCTCCTCAGTGACCTCCACAAAGGCCTTGTGTAGAACGTGAGATACCACAAGATCCCGGCTCCCAGCCATGCCTGAGAGGTCTGCATCACCGAAGACATCCACCATTCCCATGGTGCTCAATGTGTCCTTGAGATCATAGGCCTCTTCCACTTTGAACCGAGGTAAGTGTAAATTCACACGCACCTCTCTCATGTTCTGCAAACTTGTCCATTTCATCAATTTTTCAGCAGTGAGTTTCTCTTCAAGCTATACAAATGGAAAAAAGAAACTGATATGACTAACTAAAGATCTCTAATACACCTTAACAATCAATTGACTATATGGAGAATCTTTATTTTGGCAATAAATGTAAAATACAGAAGGTTCACTTCATTAGATATTATTCTAATGGGAAAAATGAGTCCTTAATATATAAATATGTTTGATTATATGTGTATGTATGTATGTAGGTACATATGTATGTAAACACAGAATCACGTTTTTACATATTCGTAATGTGTATATATGTCTGTATACAAATGTATAATACATATGTAAAAATATGATTACATTATTTTGTACACAATGAACTATGTATCATTATTTCTTGTGTCAACAGCCTACTACATGTATCAGTTTTTAATAGGCTCTTCTTATTTTCCTGTATACATTATTTAGTACATATTCGCGATTAGTGTATACCCTAAATTTCTATTCCCTTTTTTGCTTGGTGTGTTTGTAAACTTTCCTCACATTGCTATATGTTTCTCCAGTCAAGGTTAAATTGCTGCATAATAATATCATCAAATTGATATCCAATGCATGTAACTATAATAAATTAATAATTAAGCCTTCAGTTCATGTCAGGCCCTATGCTAAAATATTTGTAATATGAAGCTGAGTCATCATTCCTCATTTTGAATTTTTCATTATTTTGATGTAACTTGGTCTCAAGCTTTTATCTTGCTTAAATTTGGTATCTGAGGAAAAAAGTCAGGGAGTAGAAGGAAGAGTTGCAGATGCAAGTTTTTACCTTCTGCAGACCATCAGGTTCATTTGGCAGCAGCACAATCATGCTTAGATCTTTGGCTTTGTATGGCATTTCCAGGACCTTTGCCTGTACATCCTCCAGCAAGGCAAAATTAAAGAGCGTGTATTGCCTCATCATCTGTACGGGTTTGTATGTATTCTGCAATAAATCAATGTGTCCAACAAATACCAAATGAGACACAAGACAAAAAAGAAAATATTATTGAGATACTAACACATCCTTCTTCATCTAATAAATAACCCAGGAATTTAATGAGTTAGAGATGATAGTTTCTTCTGGTATTCCTAACTAAATAAAGTTATAAGACTCAAACAAAATAACAGACATGAAAACTTCTATTTTATACTTGTCATGGTACTTTCCATCAGAAATGTTTAAATTTAACATTCCATATATTAATATATTACATTATATAAATAAAATATAGAGAATACCTTGTTTGACCAAAATTTTTCCTCTTTAGTATCTTCTTTATTAAATTTCGTCTCCCACTGCCCTTTGAAATAGATTGCGTTCACAAGAACCAATTTGGTGTCTCTATCAATAGTCTTATTAGGAAATAGGTTTTTAATTTTTTCTGCAAGGGAAAGAATAAAAGAGTCTTTTTTTTTTTTTGAGACAGAGTTTCGCTCTTGTTGCCCGGGCTGCAGTGCAATGACGTGATCTTAGCTCACGGCAACCTCTGCCTCCCAAGTTCAAGCAATTCTCCTGCCTTGGCCTCCTGAATAGCTGGGATTTCAGGCATGTGCCATCACACCTGGCTAATTTTGTATTTTTAGTAGAAACGGGGTTTCTCCATTTTGTTCAGGCTGGTTTCGAACTCCCGACCTCAGGTGATCCACCTGCCTCGTCCTCTCAAAGTGCTGGGATTACAGTCTTGAGCCACTGTGCCTAAAAGAATCTTTTTACACAAGGTACAAATGGTTTGTCTGGAAGATGCTTTGCAAATGTTCGTGACTGATTATTAATTATTCACCCAAATCCCTACTTTAGATTCACTGACTTTGATCTTTAAACCATTAGACTTACTGACCAATGGTTCACCAGATGCAGCTTTCTTCAAGGCTCCAGCTGGATAAAGTTACCCTTGGGGGTGACATCACTCCTTGTGGTAGAGAAGTAGTTCGTGTTCTCTGTCTCTGAGTGACTCCAGTCATCTGACATGGAATACTGACAAACTGATTTTATCTACTCTTTCAACAGATCTCTTTCCTTTCTCCTTCTCTCCTCTTCCTGCTTTTTATTTATTTATTTATTTTTAAAAACTATGTGTAGGTAGAATAGATGTCTACAGTATCTAGACTTCGTTCAGCTCTTTGCCCGTGATGGGGAAGACAGCTGTGATAATCCCTGTAGGACGGAGACATGGTCCAGGCAGCTCCAGCTCAGATGGCAAAAGGATGATTTACTGGAAAGCTGCTTGTTTCCCAACTAGTAAAGGAGAAGGGAGACACTTTCTAATGTTTTCTTTTAAATATTCATCATAAAAAATTGGCTCTGATTTAAAGAAAAGAATATGATCTCAAAATGGGCCTGAGCAGAGACAGGGTGATCCACAAAGCTATTATCATCCAGGGACATGTGCAAATAATTCTCCAGCTGTGTTTCCATCTAATTGGCTTCCTGTGATTTCCTCTTTGGTTTCCCTAGGCTGTCTTCATATTCATGTAGACAAGTCCTTCACTTGCATTGCCCTCCTCTGCTCTCCCTGCAAACCCATCTCAATCCCTATCCCTGGTCCCTCATGCAGCATCAGGGACAGGGCTCACTCGCATAGGTTTCTCAAAGGTGTTTCTATAATGGATGGCTCTCCTACCATTCGTTTGACTTTCCACCCAGGAGTTAATCTTCTTTCGACTTTCTTCTGGAGCTTTTGCAAAATCAACAGATTCCACACTGGTCTGGTAATATTTCTTCATGGCATCTAAATATTCCTTTGGGATAAGAAGGAAGAAAGTAGGAAGTAAGAGTAATTTATGTAACTATATACTACCAAATTTATAATTATAATAAGCTGAATCCAGACCCTGAAGAGATGCAGTATCTCCTGTCCATGCATATTTTTATACAGGTGCCATGCAAATAATACAAAATAAGAGTGTGGGCCAGCGCAAGAAAGGGGTCACTGAAGGCCAATACCACCTGGCAAAAGGCAGAAGCAGAAGAGGCTGTGGTTTGCAAACTGCGGAGGAGGTTTCCGTGAAGGAGATTCATTGCTTCTGAGACTTCTCACCAGTAATTTCAACCATGATGTTCCTGACCTTAGTTTTTATCTTTGATGCTGTGCATTCAGTATTTCCTGGTACTTCCTCAACTATCCCCAGGAATTCACCCAAGCCTGCCCATTCCAATAATATCCCATTAGCCATACATACATTTCCCACCAAGATGTATACTATGTGACTGAGTCAGTGCCAGCTCATTGATGGTGTTTTATTACTTGCTGCTACCCAATCTCCTCCTCTTTAATTGCAAAATTATCCCTAAATCCACACTTCCCTGATATATTGTCGGGGTCTGGGACACTCCAGTGGGGGAGACTTGTGGAAATGGAGCTAATGCACTCTGAGTAAATGCTCTCCACCTGCGTCAGTCAGACTCATGTGCCTTAGCTCTCTTCCATGTGGCCAGTCAGAGTCACAGACACCAGGCTGCAGATG